ACCTTTATTTGTCAATTTGTAACAAAAAGGGGGAGAAGTGTGCATATTTGAGCCGGAGAGTTTCTAGAATTGAGAGGGAGATTTATATATATTGATATTTACGTTTATTGTTTTTATTTCTTGATTAAGCTTCACGGGTAGTTTTGTTGAGCTAATGTGCAGATTACAGGTGGCTACATGTGTTGAAGCTTTATGATGTTCAAGAAGAGTTCTATTTTATTTCTTAGACAATCATTGTAATTTGCTTTTTCTACTTGGGTAAATTACATGTTGTTTTTCGAGTTTTATCACGAAATTGCCAAAGGGGGAGATTGTGAAATATATATTTTGGGGAGATTATGAAAAATATATATATTGTATTTTGGCTAATTTCATTGTCAAAACAAGTCCAATAGAGTTATAATTTTCCGGTTCAAAATTTCAAGATTAAAGATCGGATGCGGATTTGAAGAAGTTCAAGTGTTCATGTTTTACTACACTTCAAGATGATGAGAACAATGTTTTAAGAAATTTTGAGAGGTAGTGAGAACACTTAGGAAGAGTTTGGAGTGTTTAAGGACGATTTTGCATTCTGTCCATCTTGAACTGGTTCAAGAATAATTGAACAGGTTCAACATCATCATAATAGTGGAAAGTTCAAGTCTGACCATCTTGAACTAGCTCAAGGGGGCTGAACTGGTTCAAGAATCATGTCGATTCTTTGCTGGCCATTTTGAACCGGTTCAACCCCTCTGAACCGGTTCAAGGCATCCTAACAGTTTTGGTAACTTGCCTTTCTTGCTATTTTGTTTCCTAGTTGGTTTAGAATTCATTCTAAGTCCTATGCACGAATTTTTCCATATTTTCAGAGGGATTAGGTCATTCTAAACTCTATATAAACCTTGTTATACACATAGGTTTATTCACGGCTTTTGCATAAAAAATTCAGATCCAATTGAGAGCCATCTTTGAGAGATATTTTTTATTCATTCAGAAAATCAATCTGATTTTTCTAATTTTATTTTTGAGAGCACAAACACAAATACAAGAGTGATTTAGGAGTTTTGTTCTCTATCTCATCGGAATTGGAGCATAATTGAAGATTTAGAAATTCTAGACTAGCATATTTCATTCGTTCTTCATCAAATTCAGATCTAGAAGAAAAGGGGTGAAGCGATCACAATTTGGAGGGGTCAGAGCATTCGTGGAGTGTTGTCTGACCTACCTGCAACTCTTCTAAAGAGATCGAGAGTAAGCCTGAGGTCGAGAGTTGTTGGACAGGGGAGTCGCAAAGTCAGGGATTGTCAGCAATTGGTTTTTGGTAGAACGATAGGGTGTGAGACTGAGTCAAAGTTCGGTATACTTTGTTTCAAACATAGTGGATCGTTTATCTCAGTACTGGAGAGTCCAACGAGGTTTTTTCTGTTACATTGGTCTATTCTACCAATTAGGATTTCCTCGATAAAATCCTGGTATCAACTCTCAAACTCAATTTACTACTTGCACTTTATTTTTGCTTTGTGGTTTAATTTTAGTTTTATTTCGGTAAAATTAAAATAAGTAAAAGTTGGATAAAAGAGCAAGTTGAATCTGTTTACCGTCACTCTATATTATCTATCCATATTATTCCGCAACCATTCCGCGCTTACTCAACAATAATAACATAAAAAATAATAATAATAACTAAATAAATAAGAGTATATTTTGAGTGATTTCTCATTAAATTAAAAGGATATAATTAATAAATTTATTCACCCAGTCAAACAACCAACTACAATGCCCAAACAAATATTATTCGAAAAGGTACCATCCATTTTTGGTGCATTGGATGACTGAAGAATTTTTCTCCTTGTTCGGCTGTTTGGTTTTGGTAACATAGGATAGGAGTACTTAATTGTAAATATGGATTGGATTTGACTAGACATGTTCACCAACCGTTCAAGCTCAGGCTCAGGATACATTTGGACTTTGAGAGACTAATTAACTCAGTTAATTATAACTGTAAAGAGACTAATTTTAAAGAAAAATGATATGAGAACCGAATCAAACAATCGAATGAGAGGTCGAACTTTACGTGACTTGGCCACGTCAGATTATTTTCTAAAAATTTAAACACGTGAGATGCTCTACCTCTTCGTTTCTCTCCCATCGCTTTCTCTAATTCTCAGTTTTTTGCCCTATTCAATCTTATCTCAATTGATTCAGGTTTTGTCTCTCTCCTTTTGATTTTGCAAAATTGAAGATAAAAAAAATTAAAAAAATTTCATGTTTTGCCGATACAGAAGGTACAAAAAATAATAATAATAATAATAATCTACTACAACTATTGTTTCTGTCCTTCAAATTTTGTATCCATGAAATTAAACAGAAACTTTGATATGTGTACACGTTCTATCCAAACGTTTGGACCAGTCTCAAACTAGAATTAATCTCGAGAAATTTGACCACTAGATTGAGAGAGAGGATAGATAAAAATAATTGATGAAAAATATGAGAGAGAAACGAAGAGGAAGAGAGAGAAAAAAGAGTTAGCGTCTTACGCGTAATGACATTGTATGGCGTGACTATGCCACGTCAAGTTTGGTATTCTTTTCGGTAGAAACTTTCGGTTTCAGTCTCAGTGCTCAATTTTAAAAAGACAGTCTTAGCAAAAGATGTGAGGTGGTGTGTTTTGACTTTATCTATTATTTTCTAAATATGTTTGTTCTTTACCAATATTGACTAAATTTTAAATAGTGTGAAATAATGAAATTCAAATCAAACAAATATCTTAACAATAATTAAATGATTTTAACTATTTGATTAGATTTAGACTAATGTAGGGTGTATTTGAGAGAGGTTGCACCCCATTTAGTTGGGGTGAATAGTACCTTATTAACTTTGTGAAAAACAGGATTCAATTACATGTGGCCGAACACACCCAAAAATAATTTTCTAAGAAAAAAATTAAACATCACTTATGTCAACTGTTTAAGTAAAAGATAATGTAATTTTCAAGCTAGCACCTGCCTTCTAAACTCTCCCCCTCCTTTTCGATCTTCTACCTTTCTTCTTCCTTTTTAGATTTCTCTCCCCCTTAATATATGCGTGCAAAGAAGACTCTGGATGTGTTAGCTTTTCAAATAATACCATGAAGTGTAAAGTGAAGAAAAAGAAAAAAAATAAAAAAAACCATGTGCAAGAAAAAAACTGCTCTGGTTTTCAAAAACTCTTCTACATTTTTCAAATAGAGCAATAAGGATATTTTGTCAATTTGACAACTGAAATATCTAAAGTACCCTTAAGACAAAATAAAAATATAAAATATTGATTTCAGGATGAAAAAGAGGAGAGAACAATTCTTAAGGGTATTTTGAAATTTTTATATATATGTACAAAAAAAGGTCAAAATTAATGGTCAACATATATTAAGAGATAATTTACACATTTTTTAAAATGTTAGGGATTTATATGCACTTACTTAAATATAGCATGGATGTTTTTGCACTTTTTTTTTATTATATATAAATTGACACATTACCCTACTATGAATGAAATAAGTGGGACTACACGTGCATAGGAATGCTCATGTCATGCAGATATAGGTTTGGGTGGTCTCGGTTTGGGTGCGCTGTCCAACGGTTGTGAAAGGGAATTAAACCCGACTCGGATAAAATTTGAATACCTACCTGAAAGGTTCATCTACTAATCTGAATTGCTTAAGATTTAAAGATTGGTAAATAGTTATTCCAACTCTTATTTGTTGCATAACACTAAATTCAATAATTCATCCAATAATCGAAGTGTTAAAAGAAGGTTCCTTAACAAAATTTAATGTACCTTTGGCATCTTCGCTTAGGTTGTATTAATCAAAACGCGATTCAAAGTTTGGTAAAAGAAATTTTATGACCTGTGGAGGCAGAGGAACTTATGTCAATATATAAATCTTGCATTGAGTTGTATTGCCCATCAAATGACCAAGAAACCTTCCACGGCCAAAGAAACATAAGAATTGATACAAGTGATGTTATAACTATTCCAGCAAGAGGAGACTACGAGTATTTAGCATATTTACTTATGAAGACGACTATATTTACCTAATGCACCATGAATTTGAAACAGTTGAGAAATTCAATGAGTTTCAGGTTAAAGTGGAGAATAAATTAGGTAAACTTATTAAAACCATTCAATCTTTTCAAGATGGTGGCATAATTCATATCTCGTGCCAAAAACAAAGTTTCTAAATAAAACAAACCGTGTTCAACTAATATAAACTTTCAATATCGGTTATCAACAAAACCGGGTACAAGACACATGAATAAATTTGAAAAACTTAACCATTACGAAGCTAACATCCTTCTTTTTACATCTTCATTGTCTTCTTATTAGGAACATCTCATCTTATACCAAGCTAAACAAGTCCTTCACTCTTCTCCCAATGCTTCCCGATTAGAAAAACCAGCATTAGTAAAACCAAAACAAGAAACAAACAAACATAATTTTTCAATATTACAAGGATATCCAATAATCTTTAATTTAAAAAAGAAAAACTCTAGAGGAACCGAAATCCACTCTTTTTTCTTTTATCCTAGTATTTATTATGAGTTCAGTCAATTTGGGTGTAATTCAAAATTGTAAACCCAATGTTTGAGCCCCACAAACACAATCACAAGAAATCTAATATTGAAAAAATCATCAATGCTAAATTTCAGACTAGTAGGAGAAAATTAAAATGATAAAATATTCAAGGAAAGGAAGGAAAAAAAATACTCATACACATGCATTCATACATTTATATGTATGTAGATTGGTTTGAATGTCTAGATGGCTAATAAAATAATAGTAGATGCAGATTGTTTTTAAAATCGGTAAGAGGGGAATAAATTTTGATTTAAAAATATATATAAAAAAAAGGTACGGGAAACATTTTATAAATTTATAATTAAGAGATGAGACCAAATCTCAAACACGTGTTTGGAATACATAATAACTTTTGAAACTTTCCATCTCTACTTGTGAGCATGTGGGAGAGAGTACCTCAAAATCCTGAATGTTGTTTAAGGTTAATCATTCATCATTATCTCAATCTTCTTCGTCTTCATCCTCGTCTTCATCTTTTTCGAATGCCCACTTGGGGGAGAGAGAGTGTGGACCTCTGAATCCGATATGTTGTGCAGCGTCCATCTCTAGATGAATACCCCACTTTTTCACATTCAATAGTTCATTAATTGAAACTGGAATGTAACACCCATCATAATTGCATTTCCGATCTTCTTCAAAAGAAAATTCGTCACATGATATATGAAACAACATCATGTGATCTGAGCTGATTCCGAATACCCAATTAACTATATCAACTCTTTCACTTTTACCATTAATTCGGAGAGAAATATAACAATCATCTTCTTCAAAATATTGTTGATTGCTTCCGAAAACGGCGCAAACATAAACTCCTTTGAGGTAATGGAAAGAATTTGGATCCATGATCAAACACACCACCGGAGTAGTCATGCCTTCCTCACTACCACTCTGATATGTATGGCTGAACCAACTTGGAATCTCACTTCCTGGAACAACGATTTTACGAATTCCCTGTACCATAATATAAAAAGCATAACAATTAATGATTCACTTGTGTGAGAAAGATATTCACTTGTGTGAGAAAGATGAGTATGTATACATTTGGGGGTTAATTTTGAAAGTCTACGCAGAGAGAGCGACGCATACACACACAAATATATATATATATATATATATATATATATATATATATATATATATTTATAGCTACCTGAAGTTCACTTTCTGAATTGTATATATTTGGCTTCTTGTTACCATCATTCACAACCAATTTGTGGCACTCAACAAAATCCAATGAAATGAATTCACCACGTTTTGGAATCGAATACCGTTCTAATGATGAGCAATCTTCTGCAGAAACAAACCACATAGATGATGGAAGCGAGTCCAATTTTTGGAGGCTTAAGCAACCATACAAATAAAGACTTTTAAGCTTTGTAAGTTGTGTGAAGCTTGCTGGTAAGCTAGCAAATTTGTTCCTCCTTAGATCTAAATAGCTTAAGCTTGCTGGAAGATTGAGAATGGATTCTTCATCTAAATTGCAGTTATCACACAACAATTCTTCAAGGTGACTCAACTGTGCAAAGGATGATAGTAACTTTTTTGTACCACTTCCACTCAATGAAAGACTCAGCAAAAACTTCATTTCACCAATATTGCTTGGCAAACTCCCAAGCCCTTTGAGATATTCAACTGATTGAGGTATATTGTCGGCCAATCTTTCAAGCATTTTGCACTTTCCCATATATAATGAGCAAAGCCCTTTGAGATGTTTAGCTACTACTGATGGAGGTAATTCTATTATTGCAGTATCACTTAAGTTAAGCCACCCTAAACATTCCATATCTCCTTGAATTTCTGGAAACTTCTCAAGTTTTGAACACAAACTAAGATTGATCAATTGGAGAGATTTCAAATGAATTCTTGTTGCGAGACTCTTCAAATTTGTACAACCCATAAAATTTAACTCAACAAGCCTCTCGTGAAATTCAATGGACGGATGAACCTCAGCCAGACTTGTACAACCCATAAAAATCAGTATCTCCAGACATGGCATCACAGACAAATTAGGCGTCTTCTTCAAATTTTTGCAGTAACTCAGATCAATGAATTTCAAAGACTGCTAAAATAAACAATTAAATAATGAAAGAAATCAGTTTCAATCAGCTCAAAATAATTATTTTGAAATTACTGCAATCAACAAATAAATGATGAAAGAAATATCAATTTCAGTCCACTCAAAATAATTATACAACAAAAGGTAAAACGTATGTAGAGCAACTGTGTCACCATTAACTTTTAATCTCATTAGAAATCAGAGAAAGAGAGAGAGAGAGAGAGAGAGTGAAAACACAAGACACCTAAATAGATTCCCATTTCCTTTAATTATCCTTTTCCTTTTATTTTTTATTTGCAATTTTCCCTTTTCCTTTCTATCCCTCCCAACCTGCAAATAAAAAATAAACTTAAAAAAAAAAATTCACACAAAGAAAAAGTTACTACAACTAAAAAAAAAAAAAAAAAAACTCCGTACTAAACTATACTATCACTATATCATTGTTGCTTGTTGAATTAATTTATTTCAGTTACTTAAGGTTGTTGTAGCCTAGTGAGTGGTACATTCTTACCTTTTAAAATAAAAAATGAAAAGTTCAAGTCAGAGGTATGGTTTTAATGGGCATGTAAATATCTTTTCTTTTCTTTTTTTTCATTAAAGAGTATGCGAATTTGTCGCCAAAGTAAATAAAAAATAGAACAAAACTACACAAGAGAGGGAAAAGCCTTTGAGCAACATTATAAGCAAATTTAGCCGTTCGAAAAAAATAATAATAATACATTATAAGCAAATGAAAAAGGAAAACCAACAAGAACAAAATAAATCAATCAAACAACCAAACCTCAATAACTCTACTACACCAGATTTAAGATCAATCTGCACGAAATCAAAATCTAAACCCCTGTTCAGCAAAATCTTGCGAGAAATTTTTCAGCGTGCATTTGATTAGTGTGAGTTTTATTATTATTTTTTTATATAAAAAAAAAAAAAAAAAAATTCTTCAAAAATTCAAGCAACCATTTCATAGTTCAGAATTCATGAAACTCACAATAAACCAACCCATATGTGAGTGTGTTTCTTTTGCCCAGGTTTTAGGAAAAAAAAAAAAGGGACAGTTTTGTAACATCAAAAAAACTTTCTCAAGAAATGAAAATTATAAGAAAAATTAAAATTTTCTTTTCAAGTGTTTTTTAAAAATAAATCATTTCTTACTAATCTCATTTTTCACCAAAGTTTCTTCACCTTCTAAAGTAGAAGATTTATTTATATATTTATTTTATATTTTTGTCATTGGCAAGAAATTCACACACACTACTCACACACCTACTTTGCTCCTTTAGAGATTCGAACCATCACCATCCATTTTAGAAGATGGAATAGTACTACCGGGTGACAAGGCCATTGATCTAAAGTAGAAAGTTGTGTAAGTGTATTTTTTACCATTGTAAATAATAATTAAAAAAAAAAAAAAATTAAATTGTAATGTAAGCATATGATAACAAAAGTTATCAACAAATCAAATTAAAATACACATACATATGTACATGTTTTAGCGGTTTTTCAAAATTTTCATAAGGGTTATAAGGTCTGGTTTGGGGGCTTGCCGACATGGGAACTCAAACAAATTAGTGGTTGTAGATACCTGATTCTCATCGGTTGAATTGTCAAAGAAAAGGGGTCAGGGAATATATCACTAAGCAATGTGAGGATTGCAGAAAGGTGGAAGAAGGGAGAGAAAACTAGTCCAGTCAGAGAATTGGAGCAATGGTAGGGAAGAAGCTGCCATCAGTTCCTGCCCCCCTTTTTCGTCATTACCTTCTTTTTATAGCCCTAGGTCATCCAGGTGGTACATTGTTGGGCCTCCATGTTGAGAATGGGTTAAGGTCATTCTCTTTTTGGGTCATGTTGCCCTAATCCCTACATTTTTGGATCCACTGCCAAGTGTACCTTTCCTGGTGAATAATCCAAAAATGGCAGGCTGTAAAGGCAATTGTACTATTCCAGCTGTCTTTTACTCTTATCCTTAGACTGGGTCTTGCCTTAGCGGGCAAGACATTACTAATTTTCCATCCTCCATTCCAAAATCCCTTGTGTCCCAATGTCGCTTGAAGAGCCCTACCGTAACTCTTCGTTGCTTGGATCGAGGTTCGATGCCCACCGATCGATGGTTCATGGCAGTGTCAGATCGAGGTTCAAGGCCTGTTGATCGACAGATTGTAAAAAAAAGGTCAAATCAAGGTTCTAGGCCCGTTGATCGATAGATTGTTAAAGAGTCGGATTGAGGTTCGAGGCCCGTCGATCGACAGATTGTCAAAGGGTCAGATCGAGGTTCAAGGCCCGTCGATCCACAGATTGTGAAAGGGTCAGATTGAGGTTCAAGGCCTGTCAATCGACAGATTGTCAAAGGGTCAGATCGAGGTTCAAGGCCCGTCGATCGACAGATTGTCAAAGGGTCAGATCAAGGTTCAAGGCCCGTCGATCCACAATTGGTGACTCGGATCAAGGTTCAAGGCCCGTTGATCAATGATTTGTGATTAATAGATCGAGTTTCAAGGCCCATCGACCAACAGATTGTCAAAAGGTCAGATCGAGGTTCAAGGCCCGTCGATCGACAATTTGTGACTCGGATCAAGGTTCAAGGCTCGTTGATCGATGATTTGTGATTAACAGATCGAGGTTCAAGGCCCATTGACCGAATGTAGGGCTAAGATTGAGGCCTAGTGATCGACTATCACATGCCTTGCTGAGGTGGACTTTGTCAAAGTGTTGACTGTTTGTCTTGGCCCTTGGTGACGTGGCTGGACCACGTCCACATTTAGTCTCCCTGCACGTGGCGTTTTTGAATTTTGAAATAAAAGGATAAAGCAGCGCGTGCATAGAAGACGTAATAATGTCTTGCTTTGGAAACCGATGTCTTTTTGGCTGCTGACAGTTACTTATTTAATGGGGAAGTGATGAGACACAACTGTTTGGTGTCTTCATCTTCTCCAAAGCTCTAATCGTGGTCTATATATAGAACCAGGTCAAAGAGAGGGGAAGCCATTACAGAAAGAAAAGAAAAAAGGGAAATACAGTACCAGGCCAAGAAGCAAAGTGAAGTTAGCGTATTGTGTTAAACAAACGATAGTGTGAGGGCAACAAAGCTATTACTGTGTGTAAGAGTGGGTAAGATATTCGATAAAATGACAAAGAAAAAGCAGTTGAGCAAACCCGGTGAACCAGTTCCGGAAGTACTGCAGGAGGAGGAATGGAAGAGGGCTCCATTCTTTGGACCTATGGATAGGTTCTAAACAGCTACAGGAGACATAGCCAGTGACGAGATTGACAGTGATGTGGCCCAGTTAATGAAATGAGAGGTCACCTTGGAAGCAGGAGCTTGGCCGCCGGCTGACGCTGTGCACCGATTTGCCGTTGAACAAGGGATATATCCCTTTTGTTTTATGGAGTTCAAAACGCCAGTGGGCCCATGTGCAGGATAGGAGGAATGGTCTGAGCACATCTTCAGCCACAAAATGTATATAATATGACTGTGACAAGCACGAGTTGCGCGAGGCATACGTCTGTCCCGCAAATTGAAAGTGCCTAGCGATACCCCAGGATTGGAATTGCTAGTGTCAAAATGGTGTAGTGCAACCCACACGTTTGTGGCGAAGTGGGGAGAATTTACACCCACATTGGAAGACGTGGCCCAATTACTTGGCCTGCATGTCATGGGTAGAGGATTTACAGTGCCCCTGACGATGGATGCAGCGGAGAAGAGTATCATGGCTGCATTAAAGGAAGGGTTGGAGAAGACCAAGAATTATGGATCCTTTTTTAATGCGAAGGGGGCTAGATGCGAAGAGAGAGCGGAAGGAGCCAGAAAAAGTACAACAGGAGCCTGGATACGCTCTGGTTCAAGGACCTGTAGCCTTCCTTCAAGGAGGACAAGTCAGAGCGTCCCTTTGTTGATGGAGACAAGATTGGACATCCTGCAGAACTCGCAACATATGTACTGTACTGGTTTTCCAAGTATATAATCCCAGGGACCCCAGACGATGCACCCTTGAGTCGATGGTGCCTGATAGCGGTGCAGATAGCAAGTGGGATTACGATCCCACTGGGCCGTTATTCTTGGGGACATTATAGCATCGATTGGACATGATTGTTGAGGATAGCACATGCTCGACTGGTCGCTACCCCATGGTGTCCTATGTAGTAAGTGGGTTTTTACAGATGTTCTTGTACGAGAGATTCCCCGCGTATGGCCCTTTACCTTTGCAGTTGAGTGACCATGGGGCACGAGGAAGACATTGGTCAGGGCGGATGTACAGGCAGGCACTTGGGGAAGTGATAGACTCCGAGTGAGAGTTTGTATTCAGACCCTATCGAGAGGAGATAGCAGGGATGGCGGATATGGGGATCTATTGGGAAGATGCGAGAGTGTTCAAGCCAAGGCAAGAAATGGGGGATGCAGATGAGCAAACTTTTGCCTTGGTGGTGCTACCAGGACATCTGCCCGGGCGATTTAAGCTGGGCAATGTGAGCAAAGTGTACAACCCGAGGTAGGTACCCAGGCAATTTGGGTATGATCAAGGTGTTCCAAGCGACTATGGCTTGGAAGAAAGATATGATGAATTTGAAGAAGTATTATTCCGGTATAGTGTACTATATGACCTATCCGAGGAAGAAAATGGTAGTATCGTGATTCCTTCGCGAAATTGCCATGGGGATATAACAGGAAAATACAGGCGATTTTGGGTAGATTGCGTGGGGGCCTTCAGGAGGTTTTGCTTGCAAACTCCTCGTCTTTTTGCTCCCATGCCTATATACAAGGATGATGTGTCCCTGCGCATGCCCAGGCCAGGAGTGCGAGGCCATAGATTGATAATGGCTCCCTTAGCTGCAGAAATGGGCGATGTAGCGTATGATACTGTGCCCGAGGCGTATGTATCCGTTGCACCCGTCGAGCCAAGAGCAGGTAGAAGGGCATTGACGGAGGCTCATTCCAAGAAAGTGGACGACAATGAAGAGCCAATCACTAACCGGAGACAGCAAAAGCAGAAA